AGATCTCAGGCTTATCTGGGTTACAGAGATAAGATGATTGGCCATTACTAATAACAAAGAACTGTAATTTACTATTAGTTTTTCAGAGAAAGGAAGAAATCAGTATGGGTGGAGTAACTGAAAAGGACATTTTGGAAAGAGTAGGACTTATACTTGTCTTAAAAGGTGGGAAACAAGAGGGAAGGACAGAGAGGCATACATACCACCTAGAGAGTGAAGGCAAAAGTATATACGGTAGGGGATTTTTGAGGACAGCCTTCTGTTACAGCAGAGGGGCTTTGTTAAGAAGTACTGAAAATATGTTCATGTAACTTAGAATCACATCAAGAAGGGCTTTGAAAGCCAGATTCAGAGTTTGTACTTGAGGTAGGAAGCAGTCAGAACCTGTGGGAAGGTTTTGAGAAGAAACATTTGATCATGGAGATTTTGTTTAGGAAGATGAACCAGGTTGTGGTAATGTTGTTGTCCTGGACAGAGGAGAAGCTGAAGACCCAAGAATCAAGTAGGATCTGCTGGCTAAAGACTGCAGCGTAAGGATGACAAGGAAAATGGAACCATTTGGAGGGAAGCAGAGCAGATGCTGGAGAGGAGCACGGAAGATGAGGCAGGGAGAGCAGTTTGGAGATGGCAGCCAGGAATCACAGACTGTGTCAGACAGGAAGAGAAGAGTTGACAGGGGATCTGAGTTGGCACATGTGGGACTGAAGATCTGAAGTTCCAGCAAAACCTGCAGGTGTCCCAACGTCAGTTGAAAGTAAACTGGTGCACAGGTGGAAAGTTAGGGTTGGTGATGCTCATCAGGCCACTGTTTGGATAAAGTCGATGTTTGGACCCCTGAGATTTTAATAGGTTCATTGAGGAATTAAGTGTGGACAGAAAAATAAAGATCCTGGGAGATTTGGGACACAGAAAGTTATAGAAATCAAGGGAAGAAGAAACAGTAAATGGCACCACTGTTGACAGCCACTCAGGCCACAGCCTGGGAGGCATCCTGAATTCCTCTCCTCCTGCCCACTCACTCTTTGAACCTATACCCCGTGTTTCCTTTTCCACAGCCTCCACCCTGGCGAATTCACCAACATCCCTTGTCAGGACTGTAGCAATAGCCCTATAAATGATCTCATTGCTTCTGTTGGAATCCACTGTCTAAAAATCTGATGACTGCATCCAAAAGATAGGTCATGCCATTCTCCTACTCAGGACCCTCCAGTGGCTTCTGCTCATATTTGGAGCAGAATCCAACATCCTTGCTGTGCCTTTCAAGGCCCTAGGTGACCTGGCCTGACCTCTGTTGAGTTCTCATCCCCTACCACTCATCCCTTCATTCACTTCCCTGTAGCCACCCTGATCTTCTTTGGCCTCCAACACCCCAAGCTTATTTTTGCTTCCCTGACTTTTCCTTTGCTGTTTGTAATGCCTAGATTGCACTCCCCCTATCCCCCCAGCAACATGTACGTCTGGCCAGGACTTTCTGTGTTTCTGTACATATACTGAGTGAGTGTCGGGTTCTGTCATAGACCCTGGAGATATAGCAGGAAGATAATAGATGATACTCCCTGTCTTCGTGGTCCTTCCATTCCAGTGGGGGTACCAGACCCCAAATAAGACAAATAAGTAAACTGTGTTGTAGGGTAGGTGGTGGCAAGTGGTCATGAGGAAAGGAAAGCAGAGGAAAGGGGTAGGAAGTATCAGTGTTGGGTATGGTGAGGGTGAGTGAGTACAATTCTGTAGCAAGACTTGGTATTCTTCATCAGAACCATGCCTGACCCATACTGGAACTCAGTTTTAGGGAATAAATTTATGAATGAGAGAGAGGAGCCCAGAACATAACATTCACTGTGGAAGAGTGAAAACAGAAAGGACCTTTGAATTTGGCAGGAAGTCGTTACTGGTCTGGTAGCCTTTTGGGGTCCTTGGTAATAATAGAGGCTTACAGTAGAGATAGTGGGGCAAAGAAATAGCAGGAAAGAAAGCAGATACAGTGATAGCAACCAGTTCTTAAGCATTCTTAACAACAGCTGAATTAGAGAAGAGTTACGCAGCTGACTGTGGTATGTTCTTTTCCTTCTCTCTAACTTATTTATGATTTATTTAGCCTCTTAAATAGATACTTCACAAAACTGAGCATGTGGTATTATGTTCATCCATTGAATCCCTTGGAGAACCGACAAATCCCGCTCTGCTCATTGTTAACATAATTTTAATTAATGTGTCTAAAACCCCAAGTGAAGAGTTGACTATAATCTCATTTACTGTGTGGGAGGTGTTATCTGTTTCATGACTGAGGTAGAATCTTAGGAAAGGGATATCCCTCAACCGCAGAGTATGAAACACAGTTAAGCCTAAAAGACTGAAGAACACTTCTGTAATGAAATGAAGTAATGTATATGAAAGAGCTTTGTAAGCAGTATCAAAATATACAAATAGTGTCATCGAAAAGACAGCCGTATGTCTTGTATCAGCTTGAAAGTATTGAGACCTTCAAAGCCACAAATGTATTGTGATGGAGGAGAGCGTCCAGTGAACTCAGTAATTCAGTGTTATTTAAAAGGGAACACTGTAGCAGTGAGTTGTTTATCCAGAATCTTTTAAACATCTCTATGCCAAAGATTAAAGAAAATACGGGAAAGGAAAAGAAGGTAATCTCTCCTGCAATATAGACGGGAAAGCTTTGCATAAGTACCATTTTTGGAGTGAGAGGACACACCTGACCTTCACGGAAACAGCCTCTATAAGGCATGGCTCCAAGCAGACAACTAAACGATAAAATGCAAAAACAATTTCTTGAGGCTGTGCTAATAATGCCACCAACAAAAGTTCCCCATGGGGAGTGTTGTCATTTTGGTTAATCTTGGATGCTACCCTCTTGTCTGATTTTTATCACAAGGATGAGTTACCAAAGAAAGAAATACATTCTGAGCTGGATCATCATGGATTACAACAAAGCGGTTGTAACTAAAGGATTAAATAGCTCCTGTCGTCAGTTTATCTTGTGGTTGCTGTTAACTGCTGTGGGAAATAGTCTATGCTGCTTATAAACTGTTCAAAATATACGAAGTTAGAGGCATTCAAAAAGGCACACATGTTTCCTGTATGTATGAGCATAGTAGAAGAAAAACCTAAGTTTTATGATACATCAGAGAGAAATAAGATGTACATTGGAAGGTTATTTTGCAAAATGAACTTTAAAAAAATACATGTGTTTTATTTACTCCTGGGGCAGGAATTTATTTATAGTACAAGTACAAAACTAATCTGAAATGGACAAAACAGCTTAGCATCAGTTTTTTTCCCTAAGATTTTATTCATTTGAGAGAGATGTGTGTATATGTGTGTGCAGAAGAGCAAGGTGAGGGGCAGAGGGAGAAGCAGACTCCTCAATGAGCAGGGAGCCCAACATGGGGCTTGATCCCAGGATCCTGAGATCAGGACCTGAGCCAAAGGCAGAACACTTAACCGACCGAGCCACCCAGGCACCCCAGCATTAGTTTTATTTATTTCCCTTTACCTAACAAGACTTTTCTTGTTATGGCTTTGAGTGAACCAGAAGCAGCAATGATGGAGAGCCTTACAGGTCTTTTGTTGCTAGGCTACATGTGTGCCCATTTAACCTGCTTCCTGAAGAGCAGTTTCTAGAATGCCATGTAAAATATATGCTTGTGTTTCCTGGGAGGGGAGAAAAGGGGAGGTGTTATCTTCTCCCTCTCACATTTGTTTAGCAGGGCACAGCGGACTTGAAAGGTTATGGGTGGGGCACCTGGGTGGCTCAGTGGGTTAAAGCCTCTGCCTTCTGCTCAGGTCATGATCCCAGGGTCCTGGGATCGAGCCCCGCATCGGGCTCTCTGCTCTGTGGGGAGCCTGCTTCCTCCTCTCCCTCTCTCTGCCTACTTGTGATCTCTGTCTGTCAAATAAATAAATAAAATCTTAAAAAAAAAAAAAGGTGATGGGTGCAGACTCAGTGGGCAAGCCCTAGAGAACCCACAGCTTCACACCTTCCACCAGGTCGTAGAAGTGGGGAACGCAGTTGTATCTCAGCACATGTTGAAGGGTCTTCAGATCAAGGAGCTCTTGCCTTACCCCTGCCTTCTCCATTGCTGATTTTCACTGCCTGTTCCCTCACCTTCTCACAGATTTGCAGAATACATGAAGGGAACATTCTAGGTCTGTTTTCCTGAAGGGCATGAACTAACTCTCTCTCTGATCTAAAGAAGTATGTTTCCAAAATGTAAGTTTATTTTGTGTGAGCCTTGCAAAATGGGTCTTCAGGCTTCCCAAAGCAACGGTAGACATGGTTTGTGGATGGCACACTCCTCCTCCTCCCCTCAACCCCGACTTCCGCCCACCTGTCCCCGACATCATACACACACACACACACCCTCTCACTCTCAGGTGCCACCAACTCTCCTGGCTCCCGTGTTCAACACATTAAGGCTCTGTGACCCCTTTTAGGCAGATTTCCTGGGATTTTATCAGAAGTCAAGATGTCCCCATCTTGTCCCCTGGTTGGCCTGGTGCATTCTCCATCCCCTTCTGTGTCTTCTCCCTGATCATGCTGTGGGCCTCAGGCCCCAGACCCCAACCTCCACAAGATTTCATTGCACTGATGTTGAGCTCATGCTCTGTGTCTGCTGTATCGACCACTGATGTGATAAGCTTCCTTAGAACAGCAGAGGCTTCATGGTTGCTCCTGGTGAATCAAATACTTGTCTCATTTGTTGGAGTCATCGCTACATCCACATATGATATGGATTTTTAAAAATACCTGTACAAATATTGATAGAAGTATTAAGGTCCTGGTAAAGAAATGGTAAAAGTAAGTATGACAGTTATGATGTAACTATCATTTTCTACAATGCACATGATTGTCTCCCTTCATAACATGTGCATAACTGTGCCTCTGGCCTCTCTCTCTGATATGGGCCCTGATACTCAGGTCATTTCTCACACTATAATGTATCCTATATTTTTGTGCAGCTTTAAGTAAACAGCTTATTTTTCAGGTTTTAGATAACAGTGACACTGAGGTCTCATTGAAACAAGAAAAAAAGGACATTTCTCTTATGAAAAAAGGTAAAAAAATAATTCAGTTTACCTCTATTAGCTGTGATGTTTGAGTTTTCAGCATGACTTATGAGGCACATGTGATGTGGGATGTAGATCAGAAGTTTGATAGCAGTTTGGACTTTTAAAAGTTAAAATGTGTTGTTCCAGAAGTGGGAAGAGGGGTGGGTGGAGAGTGAGCTGCCAATCTCCTGTGTTTCAGAGGAGCCAAGAAACCCTTCCTTCCCAAGGAGAGTCCCCCCAGCACTGGCACACACGGCCTGACATCTCCAGCAGCAGACTTGGGCCACTCTCTGCATTGAATTCTGTTTAGAAATTTGCGGTAGATTGATAAGAGCTCTTTAATTCTGACTGTATTTCGAAAATTATAACAGTTCTCTGTCTTCAATTTTGTAGTCCTCTTCCTGCTTTTCATGATTCCCCTCAGACTAGTTCACCAAACACATCTATTAGTTCCTTTATCCCCATGGGACATCCTTTGTCTCAAGTGAGAGACTTGAACTTTAAAAAAAAAAAAAAATTTACAGTTGCTCTCTTTTAATATTCAATCCAAAAACAGTTTCCCTGGATAGAGAAGCTGGAAGCAAACCAGACTCAGAAGATTGTTTTCTTAGCATCCATTCATTAACCCCTTTATTATGTGTTAAATTATTATTATACCATTCTTTCTCTTGTTTTAATATTCTACCATTGAGCACCACGCCCATGATTTTCATGGTTCTGCTCTTATTCTGATATAAGTTCTAAAGCCTTTCTTAGCCTCTTTCACAAGCCTCAGATCCTTTTGGCTTCACTCTTCCTAGTCCTTTTATCAGTCCATGGTTTCATTCTGTGGTCACTTTTGGTCATAAGCTCTCCCTTCATATTTTGTTGCTCAGGTAACCTAGTCAGCTGTCCATGCACATCTTGATATTTGAACCCATTAGTGAGGTCCCTAAGAAATCACAGGTTTTTTTTTAATCTCTCCTCTTAATTAGGGTAATTTACAATTCCACAATCAAGATTTCTTTTGTAAGGCTCTTTTAATCTTAAAGCCTGTCTTTTCTAGAAGTTTCAAAGTATTAAAATGATTTCAAGTATGTGCCTGTTGGATTTCCAAATCATAATGGAAAAATCGTTAATACAATTTTGATCCTAAAATTAATATTTAATTTCAAATATTCATCCTGGGTTTGGAAAGAACAAATTGTGAAATAATTTCAAATGACTGTAATTATAGATTAGTTGGCCGTTGGGCTAAAAAAGTTTCATTTTGTATGCAAGCCGGTGAGTAAAACCAGTGGCACCCGTAGTATGCTTAGAAAACCTCTTTGTGTTTTCCCTTTTCTATTTACTTAAAGGAGGCAGATCCTCAGCCATTCACCCACCATCTAAAACTTCCTTTTTTGCCGTGTTGTTCCACTTGGCCTTTGATGGCCCTTACCTTGTTGGCAAGGGTTTACTTGGTGGAATAAGATATTTGGACAGTTACCACAATGAATTCTAGACGCAGGTAGAAGAAAGACACATTGGCTTATTGCATATACTTCCTCCAAGACACTCTTAAAACCAATCCAAGGAGTCAGAGCATTTCTGTGAACTGTAAATGAATCACTCACCTCTCTGAACATAAAATAATGAGGTTCCTTCAGTGAGAAGGTCGACTAGATAACTGTAGGTCTCTTTCTGCTTTAAATTTCGACTCTCTACTAGAGAAATGTTTGGGGTCAGGGTATGTTAGGATGTTTTTGAAACAGAACCTAAAATGGAATAGAGTGGATTCTAGGCGGACGACAGGAGGTTGTCTGGGCAGAGGCCTATAAGAGAAGGGAACCCCAAGCAGTCACCCCATGCACACCAGTTGCAGGTAATAAGCATCATGAAGAAGAACTTACAAAAACACAAGTTCCAAAGGCTCTTGGATTATTATATATACCATCTACACTTTATTAAAAGGCTATTGTAAGTTGTATTAAGAATATATTGGTTCATTTTTACAAGAGGATGTTTGGAAATAAACTGCTGACACTTCTTTCATTTCACATTATCGTGTGATCATCAAAATGTGATTGTTTTCATTTTGTCTGTCTTCTGAAGAAAAACAAGAGCCGAGCAGTGATACTCCAGAAAGAAAGAGAAACTCTTCATTGCCTAACCGGGAGAGGTGAGTGTACTGCAATTACACACATTCCAAGTGAATGCAATTATACTGTTGCAAAGTGATTATCAATGTTTAAATACAAGAAGAAAGAAAATAATAGCAACAAGCAAAGGCAATTAAGAATGGAACCAAATTTACAAAGGAGACGAGAAAGAAAAGAATACGGCTAGGTTTCTTACCTTTTTCCTGAACCTTTTTATTTTCTTTTGTGAAGATTTGGGGATAATGAAGTGGAACAGGCTTAACTTCCTACTCACAGCGAGCAACTAATTCAAATTACTCTAATGTAGTGAAAGAACTGAAAATGTCACATGTATATAAGCTGTGAATATGCGATCAGAAACCTGTTTTTTTGTGTGGCTCATTATCTTATTGTTACACGTGTATGTAATTGTAATCATTGCATGCTAGAATTTTCTTGACATGAGACTTTTGTCACTTTTAACATAAAATCAGCTGAATAATTTGGATGCCCAATAAAACAGAAAGGACGTTTCCAAGGAAGCGAGCTCTTACCCTCACTTAGACAAACTTGTCAAAGGTGCTTCCCAGGCATTTGGACCCTGTGACTGTGAATCCAAATCCTGGGCCCTTTTTGCATAGGAGCACATTGAATTGAGTGTCGGAGAAGAACAGAGAGTTGTTTTATTTTCTGCATTTGCTGACAGACCCTCTCACTTCACTGTTCTACTCAGAAGCCTTTCATGGCCCCATCACTTGTGAGATAAGTTACAAACTCCTCAGCACGGTGGAAGTCCCTTTCACTCCTGGCCCTTCCTGGAGCCCCCACTTTGCTTGCCAGAGTTTCTGAGTTGATTTGAGTTCTGTTTTATCACATTTCCATCTCTGTCCATGCTGCTTTCTTTGCCCTCTGCAAGCTGTATACAAGTCTATAACTCTTTCCTTCAAGTTCGGGTTCAAGTGTTCTCTCCTCTGGGACCCCCAACTCTCACAGGCAGACTCAGAGTTTCAGAGAGCCACTGATGCGGTGATCAGAGCGGTCATAACTCCTTCAACTTCAATAATTATCTGTTAGGGGCGCCTGGGTGACTCAGTCGGTTAAGCGACTGCCTTCGGCTCAGGTCATGATCCCAACATCCTGGGATTGAGCCCCGCATCGGACTCCTTATTTAGCAGGGAGTCTGCTTTTCTCTGGAGCTCTGTGATCTCTCTCGCTTTCACTGTCTCTCAAATAAATAAAATCGTTAAAAAAATAATTACCTGTCAAATATCAGCTGTATTTTGACACACGATGGGTGAGCAACACCATTGTCAAGTGGAATTGTCCCTCTGAACATTTGTCTTCCCGTAAGGACGGGGACCACATATTTTCTTCTTCATAATTCCAGGTGTCTGAGCAGTCTTCCCATAGCACTTTAACCACATTAGCCTGTCCCACTCCTGACAAGGCACAGTATCAGATCTTAGCATCCTGCATGTTTTTTTTTTTTTCAGAGCACTTATTACTATTTTAAAGTATCTTATTGAGTAGTCTCTCTTTTTTTTAATGTATTACATTCTAGCTTGCTTACTTTCTGTCTTTTTCACTAGGAGCTAATTCACTCCATAAGAGCAGGGCTGTCTTGCCCACTTCTGTGTCATTAGCATCTAGAATAGCAGCTGACTCAGAGCTGGTATATTTGTTGATTGACTGAATGATGCAGTTTTTCCCCCATGCTGTCACTAGGCCACTTTATGAATAATGGTTTAGCCTAGAGTTCTTTATTAGAATTTGAGTTTAAAATTCATCCAAAAACTAAAACACATTGTGTGTGTGTGTGTGTGTGCGCGTGTGTGTGTGTATTATATGTTACTTTCAGGTTTGTATGAGGTTTTGTGTGTCTTTTTTTTAAATCATCTTTGAATTGTAGCTACAACATGAAATGTTAGAACTGTGGTCCAATTAAAATAGTCTTCATAGAAGAATCTTATCAAACTCATTAATAGTAGTAGTGATGATAAAGATCATAATAACAGTAATAATTAGGCACTATTTACTGAACACTTATTAAGTGTAAGAGTTGGGCTGAATTGTTCGTGTGTCTTGTTTAATCCTCAGCACAGCTCTGTGAGGTTGGTATTATTATTATCTGGCAGGAAGAGAAATGGGTTCGGAGAGGACTCTCTGTGCTCAGGTGTAGTGCACTTTACCTTTTACCTCCAGTGCCAGCATGACTTTTCAGCATCCAAAAAATGATAAAAAAAAAAAATTGTAGAGGACTACCATAATAAAATTTCAGCATAAAGGAAGTTATACTTAATAAGCTTCAGATAGTCTGTAAGTATTCTTTAAGAGACAAGCATTAGTTATAATCTTCTTAACCTTAAATAAAATATCAGTCGAAGTTAGAATTAATGCCAAAAAGCTGTCGACAGTAGAAACACATTCTATTTGATATAAACTCTTGTCCAATTTTTAAATGACCCATTGAATATAAACATAAAACTCTCCAGAGCTATGGTCTTAATATTAGCATGAAAGGATTACAAAAACTCCCTCCTTATTTGACAAGCAAATTCCTATGTGATCTGACCCCTACCTGCCCACACAGCTTTGTCTCCCAAATTACAAGTTCCCCAGCCCTCTTGAATGTGTTTTGTTCTCACAGTACTGAAAACCTTGGGTCTCATTAACACAGTGCACTATTCTGAGCATCCTCATTGTGAGTTATTCTCCGAGCTGCAGCTAGTTACCCTTTTAAAACACACAGCAGATCACCTTGCTTCCATGAGAGAAACCAGTCAGTGGTAGTGCCTGCTCTACTTAGAGTAAACTCCAGTTCCTGCCCCCTGGCCACAGGCCCCAACCCTTCCCTCCCCTGTGCCTCACTTTCCCACACACTCCACCCCGGCGGTCCTGCTTCATCTCTACCCAGGATCATTACACGTCCCCTGGAACACTCTTTTTCCTACAGATTTTGACTAAATAGTTCTTTCAACTGACTTTGCCCTTTTTTTATTTCTGTTTCTGTACCTCCCCTCAGGCTAACACAGAACTTTGGTTTAAAAGCCTCTTTCAGCAAATGAAGCAAATGTTATGTGACTACTGTAATTAAGGATACATTACTGCCAATTCTGTTTAATTGTGGCTCCCCCAAAAATCTTGAAACAAGATTTGTCAGGAGTAAATAGTCATATTTCTAGTTGAAAATTGATTTTCTATAACTCCCTAAATGACAGTTTTTAGCATGACATTTATGGCCTTGCTCTCAGCTGTTGTGTATTAACATTTTATTTGTCATCTATTAATGTTTCTGAATTCATTGGTACCTAATAAATTATAAGTCTGAAATTATAAGTCTCGGCTTGTTTTTGCACAGTGCACAGGTGGAAGGTTTAAGTCCACGTTCAGGACACGGCACCAGCTTCTCTGTGAGGGGTAGTTGTCACGTTGCAGATTTACCAACAAAGTCTTCTCCAAGCACATCTGTCAAGGAAACTGTAAGAAAACTGGTGTCGAATTTAAGGTAAAGATATTTGCTAGCATATTTCCATTTGCTTTGTGGCACTTTCTAAGCCATGACGAAGCCTCATCTTTTTTTTTTTTTTCTTCCCCAGTGGAGTGGTAAAGTTATCAAGAAGATTCAGTAGAATGACTGTATGATCTGTCTCCTAACTAGCTGCTACAGACACACCATGGGATTAAATGTCTCTTGAAATAGAACTACAGTTGCTAATTGCCCGTGTCACGTGGTCTGTCACGTGGTCTGGCAGTATGGGGGATGTTAGTTCTCTCCTGGATGTTATGAAGAATTCTTACTGAATTTCTTCCTCCCTTTCTCCGTTCCTTCATCTTTCATTTTTTATTTATTCTGTTATTGCCTGATGAAGACCTTCACAACATTTGTAATGACCTTCTGGAAAGTCTCCTTTTGTAGCTTTAGATAAGAAACTTATCAAGGGAAATTGAGTTTTAACTTTTGGTTCAGTGTAGAATGTGAACATTTGTGGGCAGGGTAAATGAGGGACTTAGACATCTGAATCTCATTTCTCAAAGTGTACAGAGAGAGATGGGATAAAGTCCAGGATTCAGAATTTTTCCAACTAGGGACCTATGATAGGAGGCTTTACAATCAAGCCAAAGAAGTTAGTATACGGAAGAGTGCTCTAAAATATGTAACATAGGGAGGGAAGAGGGAGGGAGCAGGAACACCACAGAATTAGTGGAGCCAGTTGGTTTGGTTAGGGTTCATAGCCTAGAGTGGTCTGCCTTGTAAAGTAAGAGGCTTTCGGGTAAGGCAAACACACCACATGTCCTGGCTAGAATAGTATTTTTCATGAGGACAGTGACTTTGACTTTCTGATCGATGAATGACTGCAAAAACTTCCTGAAGAAGAGAGTTGGCAAAGAATGGAATTAGAAAGTTGGCAAAGAGAAAGGTAGTGGTGGGGCATCCATATATGGAGCTACAACTCGACTCAGGCCCAGGCTTTGGTCTTGTGTGTGAAAGGAGACTGCAAACCACTCTAAGACTTGAACTCAATTCTACAAAGTCATAGGCTTTATGGAAATTTCTGCAGCAACAGCCAGGGTTGCGAGGCTCTGCATACATGGGCATGAAGGTCACCCCTATCCCTTAGAAACACACTCCTAGCATCTGTCCTGCCCTAGGAAAAAAGAGAAGGAACTCTTGGTTTATAGTAGGCAGATCTGCTTGGACTTTGCATTGGGGCACATCTTCACTAATGATACCAGGGATTCAGAGATAAGTTGTTGGCCAAGAAATAAAGCCAGAGTACTACATTTATGAACAATTAAGTTGTTTTTGCTTGTTTGTGTGTGTGTGTTACTGATAGTATATATTTAGTGTGAGATACATATCTTTTTTATTAACATATAATGCATTATTTGCCCTAGAGGTATAGGTCTGTGAATCATCAGGCTTACACATTTCACAGCACCCACCATAGCACATACCCTCCCTAGTGTCCATCACCCAGCTACCCTATCCCTACCCCCAATCCCCCAGCAACCCTCAGTCTGTTTCCTGAGATTAAGAGTCTCTCATGGTTTGTCTCTCTCCTGATCCCATCTTGTTTCTTTTTATCTTTCCTACCCCCTCCACAACCTCCCACCCTGCCTCTCAAATTCCTCATATCAGAGAGATGATATGATAATTGTCTTTCTCTGATTGACTTGTTTCACTCAGCATAATACCATCTAGTTCCATCCACGTCATTGCAAATGGCAAGATTTCATTTCTTTTGATAGCTGCATAGTATTCCATTGTATATATACACCACATCTTCTTTATCCATTCATCTGTTGATGGACATCTAGGCTCTTTCCATAGTTTGGCTGTTGTGGACATTGCTGCTATAAACATTTGGGTGCACGTGCCCCTTTGGATCACTACATTTGTATCTTTAGGGTAAATACCAGTTGAACACTTGAGTTTTGACCACTTAATCTGCTTGGCACCTGAGCTGGAAGGCCTCCATTAGCCTGGTAATGGGATGGAAGCAGTCCAGGCCGCAGGGTGTTGTACAGATATTACAAGGTTGAAAAGGCCACTTGTCCAGTGACCTGGATGGTCAGTCAGTCTTACACTGTCGTGATCCATGGTCCAGTCCCTCAAGAATGAGATTCTCCAACCAGTTCTGTCAGTATTTGTCCAGAAGTAATATGTAAGCTCTGCAATTTTGAAGTTGGTTAACCATAAATTTGAATCCTGGTTTGTTCCTTCCTGGTTCCAACATTCAGGCATGTCAACTGAGCACTAAGACTGGGTGGTGTGTAATAAATTATATATAAGAACGTGTCTGTATATATCAGTAAATGTGTGCATGTGACTAAAAATGTATGGAGATGACCCCATGTCCAATGATTGGCTTATTGTTTCTTGATAATAGTAGCTATCATTTTTGAGCTGTTACTATATTTTAGGCTCACCCAAGTATCTTGTATATATTAGCTCCTTACTCCCACAAGTTTACGAGATTTGGAAGCTTAGAGAAACTAACACACTCAAAGTCACAATTACACAACAACTAGGACAGGGCTGGGTTTAAGCTATGGCTCCCTGCTTTGTCATCTTGTGCTCTTCACCATTGTATACACATAGACACAGGTGCATATACATATACATACAGAAATGTGTATATGTATATATATACACATAAGTGTGTGTATGTATACATGTACACATTTTATCACACACACACACACATACACACACACACACCCTTCACAGCTCTCCACACTGAGATCTGGTTGCGTTGGAACAGAGTTTGGGTGTGCCGCTGTGTTTCATCTTTCTCCTTATTTTTTCCTTGGTTCATCTTTGTTCTGCATTTAAGTATATCATTACTATTAATTTTAATGTTACATGTGATCAAAAAGGGGATAATGTGATTTAGTGTACTAAGACTTTAAAGTACATTCACTTCTATAATTAGGCATCCCTAGAAAATTAAAATTTCCCAGAAACCATCTCCCTAATGAACATGTAGAATCTTTGGTGCTTGAAATCATCATGCTATTATCAACTGAACACTCTGAAAGCCAAATGTATTAATAAATCAGCTCTCATTACCAGCTTGAATTTTTTTTGTGGTGATTGTTTTACAAAAATATTAAGTGGGAAAAGAATTGTGCAGAACACAAAGCTTAACTGGAACAAAATGAGTTCTACATTTATCAATCTTCTCTCTTGCCTTTAGCAACATGTAGTATGTTTTCTCACATTTCACTAGTTCTTGTCTTTGTTTTTCTTACCCCCTGTACTGTGATATTCTGTATCTGGTCCACGTGTTATTGCTTGTGTTAACTAGACTTCACATGTCTCAGGGCATGAGGACTGTGGTGGATTGTGTAGAATGTGGAGGGTTCCATGTGCTTTACAGTGACCATTGCTCACCAGATTTGCCTTCCTTGTCACCTGCCAAAGAGTCGATGGAACCCTTTCCCTCCACATGGTTCATTCTGGACCTGACCTCATCCTTATCCCTTTCCACAGTGCCACGGAGTCTGGACATTTCTTTTTATTACATGTTAATGGAATAAATTAATAAAAATACTAGTTTTCATTGTTCCTTTCTATTACCTGATTATGCTCAGTTTAGTGTTTTTGGACTTATATTGCTTTTTGTTTTATGTGTATTAGTTTATTTAATCCCCAAATATAGTAACATCTTTGAAAACAGGTTGGATTTTCCACACCGTGTCTAGCATGTATTAGTAGGTATTCAAAGAATACTTTTTTTTTCTTAGTCTCCATGCCAGTATAGACCCCACTGCAAGGCTTAAACTCAAGATCTTGAGACCAAGACCTGAGCTGAAATCAGGAGTGTGACGCTTAACCGATTAAGCCACCCAAGGGCTCCTCAAAAGATACTTTTAATAAAGTTGAGAGGGATTAATGAAAAATGCAGTGAATATTATTGCTGATGTTAAAATATTTTCAGATTATGGGGATGACTGAGTTGTATTAAGCCAGAGGTAGATGAGCTAAACTGAGATCCAGACTGTTAAATTGTATAATATGGTCCTAATATTGGAGTATTAAATCTCAAGTCACGCTCAATAGTAATGAGAATAATACATATTTATTGTGTACTTCTTGTGTGCCAGGCACTGCCCTAAGGACTTTGCAAATGGTAACTCACTTAAACCTTTCAACAGCCCTGTAAATAGACTTTTATTATCCCCATTTTACAGAAGAGAAAATTGAGGTCTGTAGAAGTTGAGTAACTTGCCCACCATTACACAACTCTTAGGTGGTAAAGCTAGAATTTCAATCCTGGCAGTCTCATAGTCCTTGCTTTGAATTGCTAATCCTAGGATGCCTTGTTTCAGTTCATTGCTGTGTATGTAAACTTGACAATAAGGCAGACTTCATTTATTTCAACTCTTTGTGAAAACATACTTTGTGTTAGCTTAAATTTTAAAAGTATCAAAAATAAGTTTGTAAAAGAAAGTCCCTCATTACAGGTGGCTGCCAGTTACGGAAGCAAGAGAAAAGCCCACAAAAGTAAATATACTAGCAATTGAGGTCTGTCAAAAAACGTGATCTGATTCCTGGTTTTAGGAAATGAAGCTATGCCATTTTTGTTCATCTTCACCTTTCTCTTTCACTGGGTTGGAGAAGAGAGTTTTAATCTACCTCAAGTAAGAGGCTCTTTTTCTTAGCCAAGACCAAGTTTATTAACTAGGTTAATTTATATATTTATTCTTATTAATATTTATATATAAATATAAATAAAATATCAATTTTAATTTTAATAAATAAAATATTTATATATAAATATATAAATAAATATATATTAATATATAATATATAATGTATATTTTATATAAATAAATATATATTTGTTTATGTATTTATTTATATTTATATGCTGTTTTTAAAAACAGCAGCTGGATGACCAGGTACTTCTGTGTTTCCTTTCTCATGTCTAGAGATAATGAAGCTGTATTAACCCAAGTAAAAGATTTTTCTTAAGAAAAAACTACTCTGTTGAGGAGGGAATAGGACTGGGGAGTAAAAGGGCACTTGGGTGGCTCAGTTGGTTAAGCATCTGCCTTTGGCTCAGGTCATGATCCTGGAGTCCTGGGATCGAGTCCCTCATCAGGCTCCCCACTCAGTGGAGAGTCTGCTTCTCTCTCTGACCCTCCCCCTTCTGGTGCTCTCTCTCTCTCAAATAAATAAAATCTTAAAAGAAATTTGCTTTTCTGGAAGCCCCTCCTCGGAAGATTGTTGATTTGCTCAGTCTAAACCCAGAAGCGTTTATACCCACCATGACAAGGACTGGTGCTCAGGAGAGGCTCAAACCCTGTGTTGGGAGAAGGGAGGCTGGATTTGGAGGGGGCAGGTTTGTGTAAAAGATCACCCACAAGGGCACCTGGGTGGCTCAGTGGTTTAAATCTTTCCCTTCGGCTCAGGCCATGACCCCAGTATCCTGGGATCAAGCCCTGCATCGGGCTCTCTGCTCAGCGGGGAGCCTGCTTCCTCCTCTCTCTCTGCCTGCTTGTGATCTCTGTCTGTCAAATAAATAAAAAATCTTAAAAAAAAAAAAAAAAAGATCACCAACCTTCTGCTCTACCAAACCAGCCCTAGTGGTGACTTCAGGTCCCTTCCTCAGGGCACCACTTGTAGCTTTGTTTTCCATCCCATTTGATTTCCGCTCATCTCAAACACCCAGAACCCACTCCCCTTCTTACTAACTGGGTGAATAATTCTGGGGAGCATGCACGTGCACGTGTGTGTATGTGTGTGTTTCATGTTTTGCAGTGCTGAGTATTTTAACATTTGGATTGAATTTTGAAACTATAAATGAATATTAAAACATCATATTCTTAAAAAACTAGAACGTAAATTATGTAAGGAACAGCTATTTTATCTTTTGTGTGCCATATCATTTTACAACTGAAAAGTTTTATAAATCCCTTGGATAATATACATGAGGTTCTTAGACCCCTTCACCACAAAAACACTCTATATACTTTTAAGATAGAGTAGCTATAAATTTCTAAACTTCACGTTCTCCCAGGGATGAAATATGCATCATCTGGGTGACTAATCCTAGACAAGCTGTCACCCTACAAATGTGGGGCGCTACTGCCTCTTGGCAAAATGAAGCACCTGTCAGAACAATGGCCAATTACTGTTTGGAAAGAACAGAGTCCACATGTGATTCCTAAGAGTAGTTGCAGAGCCCTGGATGAAAGGAACTACCCTGGAGAATTGAGGTCTTTGGTTTTCATAGGGGAACAAAAAAGTCAGGAGACAGTGTCTTTCCTCCAAGATCTTTGCAATGCTAAGTTTTCCTCAAGGACATACTCAAGGAGGTACAGTGCTTTCCTGGACTGCTTGATTATGGATGGGCATTGTGAGCCCTGCCTGCCTTCCTTCCTCTCTCTCACTCTCTTCCTCTCATCCTTTTTTCTTGCTTCCTTCCTCCCTCCCTTCCCTTCTCTTCTCCTTCCCTTCCTCTTCCCCTTTCCCCTTCCCCTTCCCCTTCCTCCCCTCCCTTCCCTTCCCTTTCCTTCCTTTCCTTTCCTTTCTTCCTACTTTCTTTCTTCCTTTCTTTTTAAAATAAACTTTTAATTTTAAGGTAAGTGTAAGTTCACAGGCAGTTAGAAGAAATAACAGAGATGTCCTGTATCCTTTACCTACTTTCTCCCAGTGGTAACGCTATCACAAGATGTCGGCATTGATACGGTCAAGATATAGAACAGTGCCATCACCGTGAGGATTCTTCCTGTTGCTTTTTTATAGCCACACCCACTTCCTTTTCCCCACAGTCTATGCTTTTTGAGGAGGACTCTGATGACAGTGCTAAAAACAATTTGGTGGGCTTGAATGTTCATCTCTGGCAAGTGTTTAATCCCCAGCAGTTCTGACAGGTGAGTGCTGCGTCCCCGTTCCCAGTATATCACCATCTCCACTCTGCTCATATTCCTAGGGAGATTCTTCTATACTTTTTCCCTGAGTATCAGCTACCATCAGAATTTGGCTACACATCTGTCGAGGAACTTGCGGCAAGTTTTGAGGTAAGCTGGCTTTACTGGAACTTGGAGGGCATGACAGAATAGCCCAAACTTAATCTTCATTGCAGACACATGGTAAAGTGTCACTGGGAAGAGGACCTAGAATGGTGTAAGGGAATGAAGATGGGGATCTTTATACCAAATGGATGACTCAGAATGAAAACTGCATTTAAAACCAGTGTGGCCAAAGTTCTGTTGAACTTGGAGAAGATCTTACAGACCAAGAACAGAGAGTTGCGGAGATGAAAAGAAACAGGACATGGTCCCTGACTTCCCTCCATGACACCAAAAATAGAGTTTCTGTTGCTTGGATACATTTCCTCAGCCATGCTTTATGGGGGGCTGAGGTGAGGTTTGGGTGGATCAACCACGTCAGGTGTGCAGAGCTCTAGTCTGACTAAAATCACTAACATATCATAGGGAAAGATGAGGAAAACTCTATTTACCAAATCTCCTTTCAGAGATAGTGCCATATATGATTAGAAGGAAGACTTGGTCCAGCTGTCTGGCCTCATTTGGGTTGTCCCCCAGCCGCTAAGTCACTGCAGGGTGTGGTGAGGTTGAGTGAGCTATGCAGGCCTGAGGCTTCCAGAAGCTGCTCCCTGGAGCTCAGAAGAACCTTGGGGTATGGGAGGGTGGGAGGATGCCTTCTCTGACTTCATGCACAGCATTGCTTATGGAAAAGGTGGATATACATGGAAAGGCTATTAGTGAAAAGAGCACCAAATAATTTGACAGAGGTGCCATATACCTTAGTAAGATCCTGGGAAGAAACCCTTAATTTTCTAATGTATAACTATTGTTTCTGCTCCCACACCTTCCTACCCTTACCTCATCCTCCTCCCTATCCCACCCCAGCCCCCGCCAGGTTTCTGACTCTGGTACTTCACTGGGACTGTCTCATGAGGCCACCAGTGACCACTGAGTTGACAAATGCAGCGGTCACTCTTATCTGACCTCTGAGAGACCAATCCAGCTGGCCACTTTTTTCCTTCTTAAACTACTTTCTTTGTGTCATTTCCACGAAAACACACTTAGCATTTTGTTGCTTTTCTTCCTCCCATCTTTTCTGCTGGCAACTCAGTTCCTTCTCTCTTTGGTTTCTAAATGTTGGCACATCTGAGGGCCCATTCCTGGGCCCGTTTCTTCTTTCTGTTAAGTGCTGTTTCTGGGTGACCTTGACGAGTCTATGACTTTAAATACTATCAATACTGTATGCCAGTGACTACCCAGTCTCTTTCCGTGATGTTCCCATTTAGAAGATCCAGACTCCAACCACCTCCTTGACTTCCTCTTAAATAATCTTTGCCATTTACTCTGCCTTCTCGTTTTTTTCTTCTGTAATTGTTTAACCATGTTGTTTATTAATTATGTAAACTGCCTTACTCTCTTTAGTATACTTTAGTTGATTAATTTAATTAGACCCAAGCTTAAAAGACCCACAATACCAGTGTTGGCCAGTTCTAGGCTTTGATGATTTTTTATATTAGATACTTCTCATGTTAGAACTCCGTTGTAAACAGCTCATTCTCTAAAAGTTAATATCCTGTTCCATTATCATTTACAAAACAGCTGGAGCAATGCCCAGAGCAGACAAATAGAAAGCTGAGAATGTGCTTCAACCAGGTAAGCTTTTTTTTTTTAATATAAATGTAGTCATTTATATTCTAAATGATCCCATATTCCAAAGGAGAAATAATATACATTTCCAAATGTTAGGTTTGGAAGGAAATCAAATTTGCATTCTCTTATCAAGACTAAGATTAATGTGTAGCATATCAGATGTCACAAACCAACATCTTTTTGAATTTGAAAATGCAAATGTTTCCACAGCAGAAAGCTCATGAAACATTGGGAGTAGGACTATATTTTGAACAGAATACATGAAGTTTGCTGTCTTTAAGAAATAGATTAAGTCCTTGAGACACTGGACTAAACTAGAAAACATTTGCAGATTAGAGTTTTTAATTATTTTGAACAATTTGATATCTCTAGGGTTTGCTTGTTTGTTTGTTTTGTTTTGTTTTGTTTTGTTTTGGTTTGTTTTTTGTTTTTTAGGATCCTGTCAACAGTTTTTATAAGTTTATGATTTTTCCATTACAAAAGTAGTTATAAAAACAATACTACTAAAAGTACTTATGCTTATAGCCATCTTCTGGAAAACTGTCATAATGACCTGTAAACCTTAAAGACTACGAGGTGCAGGTTGACCCCTGGAATCATGGGAAGCAGAAACAGAAGGAAAGGCAGTGCCTCATCTCTTTTGTAGGGAATGGAGTATATTTGGATATTCTTGTTTCATAAGTGAAATAGAATTTCGAAGTCAGTTCCTGAAGACCTATGACCAGACACACTTGAGATGGAGATCAGAACCTAAACCAGACTCCTCCTTAGAAAGGCTGCCTCACAAAGTATTTGGAGTGTAGGATGTGCCTAAATTTCACACCCTTGTTGATATATTTGCCTCTGATGTTTCTGAGTGAATGCCTACTGGACTGTGATAAACATCTGGAAATGAAGGTTTCCCATCATTGTTCAACTGAAGAGCGAGTTTATTTTCTGAATTGTGTCTGTTGAAAAGGAGTCTCCGAACATTTTCAGGCTGAAGATGTGCTTGACCACATTTCCTAACTAGATTGCAGGACAAAGTTTTCATTCAATATATTTTTGATCCTATTTCTAGCTCTGTATTATTTTAATCCATGAATGTAAAGCAGAGATTGGTCAAGAGCCAGTAGATGTAGGCACTAGCCTAGACCTTTTATATAAGCCAGTACCTCATTAACCCTCACAACCTCGGGAGGTCAATGCCATTATCTTTATGTTAGCCGTGAGGAATGAGAGAGTCAGCAAGGTAATAGTCCAGTGTCGTGATGCAAGTGAGTAACAGATTCAGGATTGGAACCCAGATTTGTGCCACTCCAAGCTTGTTCTCTGCATCACTGTCTTCCATCTCACCCTTGTCCAGGCTGTCCTCCTTCATCCTGTGACAGGGTCTGCATGTGTTAATTGCCATATGTATACAACAGCTTCTCAGCCTTTTGGTGTAAAAGATTTATTGTTTACTTACTTAGAGACCTTGATGTTGCATGATGAGATACATATGGCGGGGGGGTGCTCACAGTGGAATGGGGGAGTGGTGCATCGTGGGCAGGTTGTTTAGTGTCTTGCCAAGAATTGTCCCAACTGGAGGTCTATGGCAGCCAGCTCCAAGAGTTACCAGTAAGGCTCCTGGATCTTCCCAGAGATCTTCATTTAGTGGTTAGGGATCTCTGACTTAAATATTTAACATCATGAAACTTAGAAATTTGCGAAGAATTAGTTTGTCACACACCTTAGTTCATCCAGGCTTATGTATGTCTTTCATGTCTGTTTCTAAATGGTATTTTTCTGCTATCTATATGATCAGTAATGGAGCCACGTTGTTGTTGCGTTTTAGAGACCAGACTGAATAAGGTAAGTATTTATGCAGGTGAACAGTGTTAGCAGAAATGATGAGTAGAATCCTCTTAATGTTTAGGGCAAGTAGGAATCAAAGAATCAAAGCAAGATAAACAGTTAGGAGACCGGGACCTCCTGTTGAAACAGAGATGTTGCAAGCAAAATACAGAACATTTGTGATCATGCCTTCCCCAATATGAAACTGCTTGGTCATTAGGACTTTATTACCGATTGGTAGTTTTAAGTGGGTGGTTATAAAAACTCTTATAATCATTTTTTGAAATCCAAGGACAGATCTATGCAACTTCATTTAAGCTGTATACTTTTAAAAAAGACAGCTACATCAAAGCACAGGAGGACCCTTGATAAGTCACAGATATCTTTGGTCACCTTGCCCTGGTTAGTTGTTAGTAGTAGTTAGTAGTAGATGGTTTATGAGCACATAGGTAATTGTACACAACTTGGCTGGAACCACCATCTTTATTCTTTCCTCTCATAAACCATTTGCCCTATCCGAAATGTAATTGCTCCAGTCTACCCAACTAGCCTGCCTCTGAACCTTTCCCCATGCTGTCCCCCAGGACACTCTTGTCTACTCTCCCAGTCTGCAGTTGACCTATTGAAATCCTGCCCACCCAGTGTTGGGTCTGGTCCGCCACCTTCCACTTCAGGTCTTCCTCAGTCTGTCCCTGTGAACTTAATCTTGATTTTCTGTGTTCTGAGAGAAATTTAAAACTTTTTTTTTAGCATTAATTAAATTTTCTGCCTTGTATTGTAGTTTCTTATATTTTATTTTCCCCTTAACTAGATTATAGAATCCTCAAAGTTAACAATTCTCCCTTCTCAAACTCTGTATCCTACCAGCATTCAATCAGTACTTTTGAATGCATCTAGACCCTACCACTTGTACACTAAATCAAATTTGATTGTTTCTGCTGGCCCACATAAACACTCACATGTCAGGTACCTAAAAGGAGAGTACAAAATCTACAGATCTTGTAAGCCAGCCTTCCTTTGTGCTAACTTGTTAGGATTCTGGAGCTCCAGAGCTGCTAGAACTCTGACTTTTTAAATTCAAGGCAGAAAATTAAAATCTCAGTTGAATATCCTTTCTTTCAAATCCTAATTCTGTTCTGAATTAATGGAGTTTGGAAAGGTTCCATTTTTGATCTGCCTCAAATACCTCTACAAGAGTAGGTTTAACCAGCAGAACTAAGCCTCTCATATTGTTACAATTCTCTACTCCTCCTAATTAAAACGTTAATACAACCGGAAGTTCTTTTACATTGGGCCTTGAAAGTTCTCAGAATTGCTACCTTTTATAGAAACCTCCTGAAAATGTTAGTTTAGAAAGGGAAAAGAATAAATCAGGAAACTGGATGGCTGGTGGTATTTGAAGGAAATATAGTTTGCTTGATTACAAAACCGAACTTTGAGAGACTAAGTATGACCTTGAATGCAGTGTGCTATATAAACATTCCTAATGTTGTACTGTACGAACAGTGTTATCTTCTGAACTTTTTACTGTGAAATAATTCTAGGTACATGGGAAATTATAGAATAGTAGAGAGGTCTCAGGTACCTTTCCATTTTCCCCAATGCTTATGTCTTACATAATGGTATAATTATAGTAGAATATCGAAACAACAAAATTGAAGTTGGTGAAATATGTGTCTCATTTTATCCATGTACGTGGATTTGTGTAACCACCATCAAAACCAGGATCCAGACTCCCATCGCCACAGAGATCTCCCTTTTCTCTCCTTTAAAGTCACACTACACATACACACACAAGCACCCTAACCCCAGACAGATGCTCATCTGTTCTCCATCTCTATCATTTTGTCTGTTCAGTCATGCTATAGAGATGGATTCATATAGTATGTGTCACTTTCTGATCCGCTATATTCACATAGCATACCACCCTTCACATCCATTCAAGTGTTATCAATAGTATGTTCCTTTTATTGCTGATAAGCATTTCGGATTTCTTTTTAATTTTACTTGGTTTGTCTTCTTACTACTACCGCTTTTATCAAAAAGTTGGGGCACCTGGGTGGCTCAGTGGGTTGGGGCCTCTGCCTTCGGCTCAGGTCATCATCTCAGGGTCCTGGGATTGAGCCCCACATTGGGCTTTCTGCTTATCGGGGAGCCTGCTTCCTCCTCTCTCTCTCTCTCTGCTTGCCTCTCTGCCTACTTGTGATCTCTGTCTGTCAAATAAATAAAATCTTAAAAAAAAAAAAGTGTTCCCTAGGCTATTATTCAGATGGCAAAAGCCATGAAGTTCTAGAGCTCTGAACACCAGGAACTCTGCATGACTGGTGACATCTGAGCCACCTGGGACCCTGTCCTCCTTATTCTGGCTGAGTTGAATTATTGACCCAACTCCTCCCCCTCTCAAATAAATAAATAAATAAATATCTTGTTTTAAAAAAAAAGCATAAATAATTGGAAGGTAAGTTACTGATACTAATCCATGTCAATTACTTTAAGTATCTTAATGATCTTTAATGAAGAATCCATACTCTAATGATAATCTGTGCCTCACTTGGGGCACCATGCACCTTCTCCCATAAGACGTGATATTTGCACGCTTGTATTATCTCATTCTATAGTTGATCTGGATCTTATATATCTTCGTATCACCTACTACAAAATTCAGTGCCTTGGTTTTAGGAGGAGGTTAGTTAATGTTAAGGAGAATTCAGTATATTTAAGGGGTTTTGTTTGTTTAAAGGATTTTATAAAAAGGAGAAATACACGAGGCAATGAGTACTTATAGGGGTTAATGTAGACAGTATCTGGGATGGGTCTGCAGTGACTGTGGTGGAGGGGGCGGTGGGGAGGAGAAGGGTAAACCCAGAAGACAAATGAGACAAATGAGACCACCTTACAGTTTTCCTGGGAACCCCGTCATTACCAGAACACGGAAATCTCCTTACAGAAACCTTCAAATGTGGATCAAAACAAGATTTGCTCTGTATCTCTTTTCTCAGAATATCCCCTGCCCTCTCCAAATGTTGACCCAAGCAATTCACATTATTTTGAAATTGGAGCATTTGGCCTCTCCATTCCCTTTTCTACGTTGTGAGTGCCTCGTTCACAATATGAAGTCTTGGGAAATAATTAAGACTCTTGAATTTGCAAGGGTCACATGTGTACATCAGTGACCATTCTCTGCATCAGGACAAGGAACCCAAAGAGAATAACAGAACAGGAATTCCTCTGATTGTAGATTCTCTGCTTTTCAACTGCTACAGACATAAGTTCTAAATAACACACCATCATCTGCCAGTAAAGCCCTGCATGGCCAGCCATTCTGTCATTGCCTGTGAGTTCCGGTGCTGTGGAGAGGGGTAACGGGCACCACCAGCTGCCCCCTTTGTGCCTTCAATACTCTGGTATCACTGGTGGGCAGACAGATTCAACCATGACTGGATTCTTTTTCCCTTTCAAAGCAAGGGTGTCCAAGCTCCCTTTGGTGTGCCTCTCCCATCCTCATAGTTAATAGAGTATTGGACGTTTTTCCTTCTCTCTCTCCGTCTTCCATCACATGGCAAGTTCCTTCAGGGTGTCATGGTCTTAAATTTTGACCACCTGTAGTACACAGGTGTAGAGTTGACACTTTGTACATATGTGCAGACCTGGAATATGAAATCACTTTCTGACATTAGGGGGAAAAGTAATACTTGAAAAATATACTAAAACTGTTTTTAAAAACATTCCCAGATCAAGAATGTTTACATGGTCCAATATGAAAGAGAACTAAAGAGAAAAATGCAGTCCATTATCTATGATGCAAATCGAAGAGGAGTGGCTAATGAAGTATCTCTGGGACAATGTGAAGAAAAAAGAAAAATTACTGAAGATAAACTGAATAATCTTCGGGTAAAACTGACAGTACTATTGCAGAAACTCCAGCTGGTAAGTAACAAAATTTGGAGTAGTGGAAATATACTTTGTGGAGAGAGCACTGAGCTACTTCCTCTCCTGCCCTCATCATCCACTTACAGGCTTTGGACGGGTCACTTTATGTAGCCCTTACTCTCCCTACAGGAATATTGAAATTGTAAATAAATAAGCTTCAAAAGTATATATGAGAACATTTTTTAAAGGTCTGTTATTTTTTTCTCTTACAAAAATCAGAAACTTTGCTTGTGCTTTTGGTAGAGTTTAATGAACCCTGTCCCCTCAATAGTGTATTTTCAGTAGGATTTTTTTTCTAATTTTATCAGACAGCAAAATATTTTAAATTTTATCTCAATACATAATTAAGAATGGACTCTTCTCATCTCCAAGGAGAGGTTAGAGAGGTCAGGAAACATTGTGTGAGTATGCTGTTCATCTTGTTTGGTTAGACGAACACATACAGAACAGGGCTCCTGTGATGGTTTGGGCTAATGAGGGAAGGTCCATCCTCTCTCTACAGCATATAGAAATTCAGGATGGAATACATAAAAAAATTAAAATATGTATGGCCATGGTTGAAGAGTCTTTCCATAGTTGGCAGAAATAAATTGAGAAATCAACAGTGAGCCTAGGAAGTACATGGTGTTTTGTACTCAGACATAGGCCCTGAGGCTGGGACAGGAGATAGGGCCTTCCTGTGTCTTTCAAAGTGAGAGGGCAGGAGCTGAGTGCCCCACAGAGAGCCCTGACTGAATGGAGGGTTACCTTGCCCAGGAAGGGGGGTCGGGGAAATGCGCACACATCAGGATAGGATGTGATGAGCGTGGGCTTTGAAGCCAGGCCACCTGGGTTCCAGTCAGCTGTGAACATTTCAAGGTGGATCCATTCCTCAAATATACATCTTTTGGGTTCTTTGGAATTTCCGTTATATTATTAAATACAAAATGAAATTCAGAAAATATTTTTTGCTTAATTTAAGTATACAGCCAAAAAAGATACTACCTCCCCATCCCCACCCCGCACTGTGGGTGGCCTAGGCAACAGTTCTTGTGGTTCTCTTGGCTGTAAAGGGTGGCAGATGTTTTTACGTGTGAAAGATCTGGTATGGAGCCTGGCACCGTTGTACAGTTTCAGTAATGATGGTTTTAACAAACAAAAACTCGAGAGACCAAAGACATTCTATGTCATAAAAATCAAATACTACTCTCTATCAAAAAAGTTCATATGGGGCATCTGGGTGGCTCAGTCAGTTAAGCATCTGCCTTTGGCCCAGGTCATGATCCCAGGGTCCTGGGATCGAGCCTTGCTTTAGGCTCCCTGCTCGGCCGAGAGCCTGCTTCTCCCTCTCTCTCTCTCTCTGCCCATCTCCCCTCCTGCTTATGCCATCTCTCTCTCTCTCTCTCTCAAATGAATAAATTTTTTAAAAAGTTCATGAAAATTATTGGTTTTCAAAATAATCTATGTGTGGCGAGGAGAAAAACATGAAAGAATAATTATTTACTCTTCTTTCTTTGCCAAACCCCTGGGTTTCCCACACAGTAGCCAGAGGAATTCTACTAATTTGTTTCATTCACGAAGTTTGAAGGAGGCAAAGGGGCTTGAGCCCGCAGAATATATGAAATGCTTCGTCTGGTATCATTGGAGAGGGACTCAAAGGATTCCTTGCCCAAATAGATTTACTCTCCTGCTTGACTTGAAATTTCGATTTCCACTGCCTCTGATCACCAGAACAACTGCACTGGCATAGAGTAGACTCAAGAGACGAGGTGGCCCCAAAGCTGAGGGACCGAGCAGGCCCATGAAAAGGCTGAGGGACCGAGCAGGCCAGCCTGAAGTCCTGGAAGGAAGCCTGGTTTGCCAGGCATAGAGCAGAGCCAAAAGATTAGACTCGGCCTAACAGATGGAGAGTTGTCAGGGTCTCAGAAGGGGTCACGTAGGGCATTCCTCTGGGCCAGGGACTATTTGAAAATCTAGGTGAACATGACTATCAGGTGAGTTTATTTCTAGGGATGGGGCCCCAGTCCAAAGCTGGGACTTAGTATAGTCCAGCCTTGTCTGAAGCCTAGGGCAGAGGGACTGAGCACAGTTAATGGGACCAGGGGACCCATTAGAAGAATGGGACCTCCTTCTTCTGGAAGAAGCTAGGAGGGTGGTGTCAGACACGGACTGGGAACAATCATAAAACTGGAATTGTTTCTGAAAGGTCCTTTCTGAAAAATTCTTGTATCCATCAGCCCAAGTTAGAGAGCAGGTTGAGCCCATGGCTCGGCTTGAGGGAGTGAGATTTAAGTCTGTGAAGAGGGAGCATTTGTCCCGCTGTTCATGAATTAAGCAGCCCAGGGAAGGACAGTATGAAATTGCCCAAACAGAGAACTGGGGAAAAGGAGAGAAAAAGAGACAGATGAGAGCAGCAAGCCCAGGGCTGGGGAAAAAGATGCTGCAGAGAGAAGAGGAGTGACAGAGAAGTCAAAATCTTCTTACTCATCTGTTTTTCATATAAGGCTAAAGAGTCATGGACTTTCGAGCCCCGCTTCAGGCTCCTTGCTAAGTGGGGAGTCTGTTTCTCCCTCTGCCTTCCATTCCTCCTGTTTGTGCATTCTCTCTTTTTCTTTCTCTGTCTGTCTGACAAATAAATAAATAAAATCTTTAAAAGAATAAAAAAATTTTTTTTTTAATGGGGAGACAAGAGCCTATAACAGAGAAGGACAAGATGGAGGCAGGTGGCTTTAGGAATATGACAAGTAATTAAATAGAAGGAAAAGTAGGGGCGCCTGGGTGGCTCAGTCCTTAAGTGTCTGCCTTTGGCTCAGGTCATGATCCCAGGGTCCTGGGGATTGAGCCCCACATTGGGCTCCCTGCTCAGCAGGAGTCCTGCTTCTCCATTTCCCACTCCCTCTGCTTGTGTTGCCTCTCTCGCTGTCTCTCTCAATCTCTCTGTCAAATAAATAAAATGTTTAAAATAATAATTAAATTAAAATAATAATTAAATTAAAATAATAATTAAAAATAAAATGTTTAAAAAAATAAATAAAAATAAATAAATAGAAGGAAAGCCAGTTGAACTAACCTCCACTAAGGAAGGGAAAAAAAAAAAATGATCCAAGTTCCTAACCACTTGTGAACATAAAATGAGGTTAAAGGTGAAAACATATTAAAAGACAAAAGGCATTATTCCAGGGTGGGTTTTTGTGCTGCAGGAACCCTAGGGAAGACTGTTCCAAGGCCGCCCGGATTACAGGGGTGCAGCCTGCAGCTTCCCGGCCTGCTCTGATCGTTGATTCTCTTTTCTAGGGCAGTCCAGCAGGAGACCGGGAGCAGATTGACAGGTACTTAGAAGCTTTGCTTCAAGAAGATAATCCCCTTTTCCAGAAAGCTTTAAATAAAGTGACTACAGATGCCGGACATGGTCTCCCTTTAGAAAGGAACTGAGAGTCAAAATCAGAAGTCAGAAAAGATAATCCCTTTTAAAAATGCTAATAAGATGAAGATTCTTTTCAAAACGTGTTTCCCCTTGTACTCGTTAGTGTACGGTTTGTCCTGCTTAATCCTGAGGGGATAGTGAACTTTAGAGACTGATTTACAATTGACACATTCTCCGTCTGGTTCCCTATCTCATCCTGTTGCGGCAGGAACTGTTCCCAGAGTTCTCCAGTTCCCATGTAAGCTACTAAGAAAGACGGAGATGTCAGTTGGGCTTAAATTCTGTTTTCACTAGAAGACTATAATAACTAGGAAATAGTGGCTTTCGAAATCAGTGTACAAAGGACTACAGAATCACCTCCTCTTAAAACTTGTGTTGAAACGGAAAGGCCATGTGCCCTTTCTCCATGACAGCCAATACTCAGTAAAGCAGAAAATAGAAATCCTCAAAAACCGTAAGATATAATTTATATGATAATTCTGTCATTGAGTTGTAGTACAAGTACACGTCTTCTACATATCATGTGAATGCATATTACACATATGTAAGAATTGTTTTTGTATTTTCCTGGGTAACTGATTATTTTTATTTGTTTAGACAGTGTCTGCCATTTTGGACAAAAGCAATAAAGCATTTAATATTTGTGGAATTGTATAATTTTAATTTTACATACATACACACAGTACAAAAATCCAGAACGTGTGAGATGGGATATGGTGGGGAGTCTTCACCTCATCTGTCTGTGGACACTCAGTTACTCCTCTCCAGAGGTGTGCTTTTACCCGTTACTCGTGCATCCATCCAAAAACAGTGTACATAAAACCATAGAAGTCATTATACAGGTATAAATATAAATGTAAAGGCATCCAAAGGATTCTGTTGATTTTTGCAGGTAATATACCTTCACAATCATTCCATATCAGGATCAGTACAGGGAGAGCCTCTTTATCTTTCCCTGCTCCTTATTGTTCTGTGGACATGCTAGAATTTCTTTTCATTATCTCTTATCGATGGTCCCTTAGATTTTTTTCCCATTCTTTTGGGTTTATATGTGCAGATCTCTGTAACTATGTTTATTTCACACATGCAGGTATATGTTAAATAAATCCCAGAAGATGAATTGCTGCGCCAGAGGACATATGCATTTTATTATTAATAGATAGTTCCCAGTGGTACTGCATAAAAATTTTGTTAATATACATTCCCACAGCAACATATGAATGCCTGTTTCCTCACACCTTCAGCTACCTGGTGAATTATCAAACTATTTTTTATCTTGCTGACCCAAGTGGGTGAAAAGTGGTATATCCTTGTAGTTTTAATGTATACTTTTTATGCTGTAAGTAAGATTGAGCATCTTTTCATGTTTAAAATGTATTTGAATTTTTAAATTTGGCTTTTTCCCCATTTTTCTATTTGGTGGTTTTTTTTTTTAAAGATTTTATGTATTTATTTGAGATAGCTGGAGCGGGGGGTGCGTGTAAAGGGAGAGGGAGGAACAGACTCGAAGTTGGGCAGAGAGCTCAACGCAGGGATCAATCCCAGGCCCCTGGAATCATGACCTGAGACGAAGGTAGATGCTTAACTGACTGAGCCACCCAGGTGACCTGGTGGTAAGTATTTTCTTACCAATTTATAGGAACTATTTTTATATTAGGGAAATTATGTTTTTTATATTATATGTGTTACAGCTATTTTCTTCTAATTTTTTATTGAAAAAAAAGTTATAGTGTTTTGAGCCATATGGGATTAAAAAATTGTGGGAGGGTTAATGTACTTTTCTTTATACCTTCTGGTTTTGAGTCATATTTAGAGAGGACATTCTAATGCTAAAACTATAAAGAAATTTTACTTTGTTACAATGACTTTAAACATTATATTGTTAAATCTTTAATTCATCTAGAATTTATTTTGGTGAAGGCAGTAAGCTAAAAACCTAACTGTTTGTGTTTCCAGATAGATACAGTATTGTCCCCAAACTATTCATCAAATAACCAATCTCTTCCCCACTGATCTGCAGTGCCACAGTTACAGCATGTTAAATTCCTATTTACATTTGGGCCAAGTTCTAAAAAAAAAAAAAAAAAAAAAAAAAAAAAAATTCTATTTTCATTGATTGTTTCAACTTTTCTCATGTTGGACCCATATTGTTTTGGTAGGTGTATTCAATAATTTTATATTTCAGAATTTTCTTTTGTACATTTGCATATTTAATTCTTATCCCTACTTAGAATTAGCTGTTTCAGTCAATACTTACCCCTCAAACTTTATTTGCATTTTGTTTGGTGTGTGGTGGTGTAATAGATTAAGGTAGTATTGCCTTTTTTTAATTACCAAGTCTTTCTACCCAAGACCAAAATATGGTTTTATGTAGTCTTTATGGGTGCCCTGTATCAGCATTTAAAATATTTCTTCAGATACATCCAGCACATTCTAGTTAAATTTATTGTAATTTAGATTTATCCTTTGACCTTTTAGAAATGAAGTCTTTTCCCCATTATCTTATAGCAGGTTAATGTTTTATATAGCAGGATTCCTGAGTTTGGGATATCAATATTGTATCCAATATAAGAATCCTTTCACTATTTGTAATAGTTTTAAATATTTTTCTGTATCAGCAAGTAATCATTATGCAGATTTTCTTTTAAAAGGATCATTTACATGAAGAAACAGTTTCTGGATCTCAGGTCCTTGTATTCTTGATTTATCCAAAAATCTTCCTTCCATAAGGGATCTCCTTGGCTCCTTGAAAACTTCCGTTACCTTTCTCTTCCATCATCACCAGACATTCTTTTCTTAATTTAAAAATTGGTGATTAATAAATGTTAATGGTGAAAAGAAGTCAGTGCCTCTTACCATCCTTCTGGCAGACATTTCAATGGAGTCTGCATAGGGACTTCCCCAGAGAATGGTCTTTGAAGATCCTAACAGGATAGTTATCATATTCCTACCAGGACTGATTCCCCATTAGCTCATCATCTTTCTTTATCCTCCACATAAGGAATCTCATCTCTAATGGTTTCAAGTGATACTTCCAAATGAATGAGTTCCACATTTCTATAATCTTATTGAACACCTGTTATTTAACTGTAATTATGGATTCAAAATTCTTCTGTTTGAAGTCTGCATTGGTATGTTTGAAACAAAATTAATCCTATATACCCTAACCACTCCCACCTCCTGTCAAGGTGCTTCATTTAGGCTTCAAGGGCTCCTGTTCTGAGGGAACCTCGGGTTTTAAATAGGTAATGAGTTAGGACTAAGGAATAGGGACTAAGACAGAAACCAGAGTTAGGAACTGAGCCAATATGAGAATTGGAGAAAAAAGGGAGTAAGGTTAGGAGAGGAGAACCATGCTTGGGACCAGATGACCCCACGTCAAAAATAAGGGAATTCTGTTAACTCCTACATATGGCTGGCAGCAAGATGGCTTGAGGACCACACAGGGCAATTCATTTCCATTTCTGGACCATGGATATAGTTTCCAGGTTCATTCACTCCGTTTTCAAGTCCTTTGTGATTGGGGCTTGACTCTCAGACAAGATTAGCTTGGGAACTGGAGTGGGACGAAACTGGCAGGCAGAAGGCATGGGTAGAAGTGGACTTAAGAGACAGAAAAGACAAGGAACAGCAAAAAAAAAAAAAAAAAAGAAAGGAAAAAAGGTAAGAACAATGAAGAAGACACAGCTTGATATGTCCCTTTATCTATAGAGTGCACTTTTCTGCTTACTACTACTACTACTACTACTACTACTACTATTTTTACTACTACTATTGTGTTATCTTTCCCCATTTCCCTCTTCTGTACATAGACCTCCTTTATATTTTAACAGTACTCAGAATGTGTAAATTTTCTGTGGTTTAAGATTTTTTTTGCCTAAATTTATCTTCACAATATTTAGGTATGAAAAGACAAAAATATTCTTGTTACTGTTTTACAGATGGGAACTCTGAGTCTCTAATGTTTCAGTGCAGTAAGTGCAAACAAAGCCTCGAGCCCAGGCTTCCTCACTGCAACTCAGAGTTCCTTCCATGAGACCCCACTCCGCACTGAAGGCATAATTTATGGCTGACAGTATGGCAAAGATTACTCTTTCTAAAATATTGCCTCTGCCCTTCACAGAAAACTCTATCTCTGAATGGCAGTAAATGCAATCCCATCAGTCACAATAAATGACCTAGTCTTAAAACTGTACAGATGAGTTAATCTCACTGGCTTTCTCTTCTTATTTAGCCTATAGCTGTAAGAGGTTTAGTCGCTCTCTAAAGGCATATGTTAGCCTCCAGTTTTAGTGAAGAGTGAGGAACCAAATCGGTAGGGACCTTACATGAAAACAACCTGAGAAAAAGCTGCATACTGTGAATCACGATGGGAAATAGCGAATCTGAAGCTGGTGGTCAGACAGAAGTTTCTGCTAAAGAGACCTATGTGTGGTACAGAAAATTTATGAGGGAATATCCATCCGGCCTGCAAACACTGCATGAATTTAAGACACTCTTGGGTCTGCAGGGTCTGAATCCAAAGGCCAATCAACATGTTGATCAAGTCTATAATACCTTTGACATGAACAAGGTAAGACCTTTACTTTTTATTTGGCTATGGTTCTGTATTCTCCCCTTTTTGAAAATTTGAAATAGCCTGAGGTAGAACGTGTGCATCTCACTGAATTAGGAACTCTTCAGAGAACCCACAGCTTGTAGGTAAGTGAGTCATTAAACACATTTAGCTACTGACGGCATGAAAGTAATTGGGAACTAGCCTCTCCGCCCTTGGAAATGTTCTGCATGTAGGGAGTTATTTTAAAACCAAATTAAATCTCGGCATGGAATTCTAATGCTATCGTTTAAACAAATCTAATAAGTGCAGATTGATTTACAAAGACTGTTTTCAAAGTATTTAATGCGTTGGTGACATTTTATAGAAAAGCAAATTACAGGAATCTGCTTTAAAAAGTGTGATTGCATCTAGATTGGCAGGTAAAATCAATACAAATTCGCCAACATGTTGTTTGTACTCAGAAGCTGGAATGCTGGAACACTTTTTCATATATAACCATTTTAGTTGGGGGAAAAAACAATTTCATTTTAAATTCAGATAAATTTTAGTTTCTAAAGATTGTGACTCAACTATTGTCTTGAATTTACTCATTCCTGAGGAATTGCAGCATGTTGAATTTTCAAGACTTCTAAAGATACAAAGATGAGGGGGGAAAAAAATAAGGAATAGAAAAAAAATAAGCCAAAAAAGTAACAATCTCACCTAGCAGGGTCAAATTCTTCTTGCCTAATTTATCTTGTGCATTTCAGTTATTTTTCACCTGTACATTTCAAAATGGGCTGATGCCATCTAGAATGAAAGGGAAAGGGGAAGTATTACTCATTGAATGATAGATGACTTTAGAAGGCTGTGTGTGAGAATAGATGAGAAAGAAGTGATAAATCAACACAATTAAAATGATTGGCTGTCCATTGAGATGTGTGGAGTCTGGCACAGCCCTTTGAGCCCTTTTTCAAATCAAAACAAAAAACAAAATAACAAACCAAACAGCAGATAACTTAAAAAGAGGTACCAGCCAGAAACGGGAAAATTAAACCTGTGTAATATTAACAGCTATTTTAATTCTGGTAATAATGTAGGGAACACACTTCTTTTAAGCCATGTTCTTTGTTATCATGCATGAATGAGGCACTGCCTCCTTAGCATGGCAGTGTCTCCCGCCTCATAAATTTTACTTAGTGTAGATGCAAACAAACAACAATTCTGCCCTCAAGGAGCTTACAAATCAGTGGGAAAATGAGGCAGATTCTGCTTTTGTTCTTAATGCTGAAATATATTCTAGATAGGCTAGAAGCTGAAGGTTTGTATCCCCATTAACCTTGACAATGAAACTATCAGTTTTACCAGCAAAAATGGGATTATTTGGAAATAGGAGAGAATTGCAATTTTGGACAAGCAAGCTATGGCAGAACCATAGGCCTGTCTGCAGAGCAGAGGAGAGGATCTCTTGTGCAGAGGAAAGGGCGAGATTGGGAAGGCTTTTATAAACACAAAGTCGGTTGGAGTAAACTGGGAGTTTGAAGTATAGCGGCTTTTCACTATCTGAATTGTGGCGGTATCTCCTGGCTGGACTATTGCGGGGTGAGGGTGGGGCACTTCTTTTCTTGCCTTTCCTGTAGTAAAAAAGTAGTATCCACAGGCAAGATCCAGTCTCTTCTGGTTGGGTGTGCAGTGGACGAGGAGCGGTGGGGCATGAGAGCTCCCCCTGCTGGCCTCCTGACTCCATTCTACACGAGCTTTCCTTTTTTGTCACTTGCCCAAATTCATATGCTGAAATCTGACCCTGGCAGCGCCAATATGATAGTATTTGGAGGTGGAGTCCTTGGGAGATGATTACATCAGGAGGGCAGAACCTTCATGAACGGGCTTAGAGCCCTCATAAAGAGACCCCAGAGAGTGTGTTCTTGCATGTGAGGACACAGTGAGAAGACTGGCTGTCTATGAACCAGTAAGTGGGCTCTCACCAACACAGTGAATCGGCCTGAGCCTTGATCTTGGATTTCCTCCCTCAAAGAACTGTGAGAAATAAATTTCCGAGTGTTTTCAACCACCCAGTCCATGGTATTTTTGTTACAACAGCCTGAAGTGACTGAGACGGGGACCTGTGAGCATGTTGGCATGTTGGCATGTGGCCCGTGTGTCCCTGCCTATGTGTGTTTCTCTCAGCTCCTTCTCTCCACCATTCTAGATGTTTTGGTCTTTGTGTGGCAGCGGCCGTCCCATTGCGCCTGCTGGAAGCTGCCTCTCGTGGCTCTAGATTGCAGCTTCTCAATCTCTGACAGTCCTCCTGGGAGGTTAGAAGATGAACTGTTGTCAGGTTTTTCAGTTCATCTTCCAAGTAGCTGGTGACCTATCCCATGCCAGAGATTTTGCTGTCCACCCAGTGTTTATGGAAGCTATGCGTGTCTGGTTCCTGGGTAAGAACAGGAACACGGGAAATGAAGTGCTGGGTGGAAACAATGACGCCCGCTGTCGAGGGGCAGACGGTGTTCAGCCAGGCAGTCTGTGCGATTGGAGTGTCCTCTCCGTGACAGCCATAGGATGGCCAAGCCCACATCAGAAGCTTAATTAAATGACTCACGAGTTCTGCTGGTATTCGTGCTTTATCGTCAAAATGTTACGTTTGCTTAGCAAGCAAGAGAACCTAGGCAATGATGACAGATGCCACATAAGGTGTGGGGATCTTGATATAAAATCAGGTTGTAAAATGAGAAGAGTAAGGATTGCTCGTTATCAAGTGATAGTGAGAAACGATATGCAGTTATGCACAGGAAAACAGAAAAAGCCATATATTTAATTAGATCAATAAAACTCTCAGCTGTCCAGACTCCTGGAGGATTTATTGTTTCTGTGGAGCAGCTCCTCTGTGGTTTAACTCTTCTGGATGGAAATCATTCTAAAATGCATGTCTTACTTTTCCTCCTCCTCAGAGTCCCAGTAAAAAGCTTTTTGATATCAGAGTCATTATTATGAACATGGGTTGTTACATATTTGAAATACTGTGAAGCACCCATACCTGTTGAAGTTGCTGCAGTTAAGTTTCCTAATGCTGAAAATCATGAAAATATATGCTTTTGTTTGTTTGCTTTTTGTTGTTTTTCTCTTTCCCTGCTGTCAGATACACCTTTCCCAGCTTGCTTGCTTACATTTATTTATTTATTTATTTGACAGAAAGAGAGAGAAATCACAAATAGGCAGAGAAGCGGGGGGGGGTGGGGAGCAGACCCCCTGCTGAGCAGAGAGCTGATGCAGGGCTCGATCCCAGGACCCTGGGATCACGATCTGAGCCAAAGGCAGAGGCTTAACCCACTGAGTCACCCAGGCACCCCTTTTCCAGCTTTCTGATTGTTCTGATAATAACAAGCTTCCAATCTCTTCTTACACTGTCATTTCCAACCTGGCTTTGGCATGTACTCTAGTTAACTAAACTTGTTGGAATTGTGCTTAAAATAGAAATAAGTAGATCCTAAAGTTTAGAGCATAAAGTTTAGGACAATTCCTTGGGCTTATCACACACCCTTGCAGGCATCTCCTTGTCACTCCTTAAAAGTAGTTAATTAACCATAGTTAAATGTGTCTGACATTGTTTTAGGGACAGTACATAGACTAACGCATTCAACAGCACAGTGATAATAGAACCCACTTTACAGTAATGGCCATGACGTTGGCACCTCAGACCTAACTGGAAGGTAATTGACCAGAACCCCAGGTGCATTGCTTTGAAATGCTTCACCGCATGCACCGAGTCCATGCTTGGTTTTAGATGACCACCAATGATAGAGTGCAGCAGAAATAATAAGGCCAACCCATTCCTAAGACACAGGATTCCTTTGTCAACAGGCTTTGACTCAAGGATTTCCTGGTGGCTTTGTCAAACCATTGGTTTCAGGAATGTCTAGGACAATTCCGTCCAAACTTCTTTTACACCCTTCTTCAGGTGGGTCAGATTAGCCCATTTAGCGTTTCCCAACTTCCTTCCTGTTTCATTCCAAATAACATTTCTCCAAATATGTTCCTTAAATTAGGATTAATAGGTCTAATATCCAATGAATAGAACACAGGAACAGAGCCCAGAGAAAATGTAAAATTATAATAAAACCAGAAAAATTTCCCAGACCTGTTAGACACATGTTTCACAAGGGTCCAACACAATAAATAGAAAGACATCAACCTACAGTATATGTGGAGAAATTTTTTAAACAGGGATTAAAAACATCCTAAAAACCTAAGAATGAATGAAAATATATATATATATATATATATCTCACATCTTCTTTATCCATTCATCAATGGACACTGTTGTTTCCATATCTTGGCTGTTGTAAATAATGCTGTTATAAACACAGAGATGCATATATCCCTTAGGCATACTTTTTTATTGTTCTTGATTTGAGTTTGCATGCAAACAAGGTACATAGGTGGAAATTGGTGGCTATGACTCTTAAGTTTGTTTTTTTCTGTAATAGTCCCCTAACCACCTCCATTCCCTCAACCACCCCCCCGCTTTATGCCATTGGTTTGCTGAGGAAAGTGAGTTCTACAGAATGTTCTGCATTCTGGATTTAGTTGATTGCGTATCTAACTTTCTAGTGCTATCGAGCTGTCTATTCAAATTATGCATAAACTGGTATTTAGCTGTAGAAATTTAAATAGATTCAGATTCATTTGCTTGGCAGAAATACTTTGTAAGCACATAATTCTTGGTTGTCACACTTTTCTCGGATTGTCTGTTAGGTTCAGAGATGTCAGCCTGATAATGATGAGGCAATTATTAGCTCCATGTAAAATAAGGAAGTCCATAATTTTGGTACACCAATAGGCTATATACAGAGAACAAAATTTACTAGTTATTAAAATTAAACTCTTGACTTTCAGATTACCCTACAATTGTGTGAGTAGGGAGGAAGAACAGTGGTGTGCCGGGAAATGTTTAATAACTGGTTCTCCAGGGTTGGTGGGGGAAGCCCTGGTAACCTATGCTGATCTCCATGGTGTAAATACTCCCACCATGGCCA